GCGATGGCAAACCGAAGATCATTGACTTAATGGACGGCTCGGGCGCCGGAGATGTGGACACGTCTACTGTCGTCGAAGCGGATATCGACGGCTTTATTACGGGTCTGACGGGTACTAAACTTAAGGTAAGTTTGTTTGGATTTTTTTTTACTACAAAACAATTTCTAATTAATCATTATTTTAACGGATCAGATCCCGAGCCAATGGCAGAACCCTTCGGGCAAATACCACATCGGAGTGAAGAATATCTACGAGTTGTTTACGAAAGGAATGCGCGAACGGATGGCCAAAGAATACACGGAGAATGAGTGGCAACCGATGCAGAAGACGGCGATCGCCGAAGCCGTGCGACAGCTCCAGGAGTTCGAGAGGACTCATTCGGACGCCTCGGCAGACAATACCGAAGAGAAACTGATCCGCGAAGACTTGCAATCGAGAGTTGATTTTCTCAAACAATTGGACAAAAAGTTTACAGATTTGGGACCGACTTATGATTGTGTGGTCTTTAACGACGGCTCGCATTGGAAGTAATGAATACAAGAGTTTTGTGGTTTATTTTATGATATTTATCATTAATTTTTATATGAATAGAGGAGTTGTGGACACTTCAGGCGCCGGCAAACTAGAAGACTGTACACTATTAGGCAATTATAGGGAGTGTTTGAAATACGGGACACTTTCTAATAGAGGTATTGATTATCGAAATAAATTTATTATTGATTAAATGGATTTATGTCTCACTTCGTGGCCACAGATCTACTAAACTATGGAATCAATATCCATAACGAGGGAAACGTTTTAGAGATCGTCTCAATGTGTTGTCAGTATTCATTCAATTAGTTTTAATTGAGTTTTTCATTGCTTTTGTACTAAAAAATCATTAAATTATGTTTTAAAACAGCGCCTCACGGGACACACGTGGCCAGTATAGCGGCCGCGCATTTCCCGAACGAACCGGAGAAGAATGGTGTGGCGCCGGGCGCTCAGATCATCAGCATATGTATCGGTGATACGAGAGTGGGCTCTATGGAGACGGGAACCGCTTTAATGAGGTTTGCTTTAAGATTGTTAAATATTATATATTAAATATTAAAAGTTATAATTCATTTAATCTCTTAATTGCCTTTTCAGAGCACTTATGCGAGTAATAGAGAGCGGGTGTCACGTGATTAACATGAGCTACGGAGAGGCCGGCCATTACGCAGAAGGGTATGTGTGACCAATAGTTTTGTGTCCGCAATGTTTGCCAATTAATTGCCATTTTTCTGTTGACTTTTAGCCGTATTCTGGATTTTATGCACGAAATTGTCAATAAGTACGGCGTTATATTCGTGGCCTCGGCTGCAAACAGCGGTCCCGCGCTGTCCACCATCGGTACGCCGCCCACAATGCACTCGTCGTCCATCATATCGGTCGGCGCTTACGTGTCGCCCGATATGATGGCCGCCGAGTACTCTATGCGTCAGAAGATGCCCGGAATGAACTACAGTTGGTCGTCGCGCGGCCCTACGTATGGCCACAAATGTTTCTATGTTTATTCTTGTGTTTAATATTATATTTTCAATGACTCGATAGCATAAATGGCGATCTGGGAGTGTCAGTGACGGGTCCGGGCGGTGCCATAACATCGGTGCCCAACTGGTGCCTCAAGAAGTCGGTGCTAATGAACGGAACGTCGATGTCGTCGCCAAACGTTGCCGGATGTGTGTGTCTTCTGGTGTCCGGACTGAAGGCCCGGGCAATTGATTACTCGCCTTATAGTGTCCGCCGAAGTATAGAGAACACTGCCCTCAAGAGTATTCAAAATTACGAGCCCTTCACTCACGGACACGGACTCATACAAGTGCTGTTTAGACATCCCTTTCCTGTCACAGGTATTCTGTAATATATTCTTTGATTTATAGGTAGAGAAAGCCTTCGAACACTTGACTCAATTCAAAGACTCGGTTGAAAGGGATGTCCGCTTTCACGTGACGATTGGCCAGAATTTAGGCGTTTATCTCCGACAACCCGAAGAGGTGGCCAATCCCTCGATACACCCCATTAGTGTTGACCCGATTTTCCTCAACGATAAACAAATCGGTATATTTTTAAACATAATTTTTTAACTGAATTTTTTAAATGTTTTTTTTGTATTTTAGATAACAAACGAAAAGTAGATTTTGAGATGAATTTGAGTCTCATTTGTGACAACGAGTGGATAACGTGTCCGTCGTTTTTGCACTTGACGTACGGTTCGAGAGGTTTTTCCATTAAAGTGGATCCACGAGGACTGGAGGACGGGAGGGAACACTTCGCGTTCGTACGTATCATACGTGCCATCAATTGATTTAATAGCCAAACCTATACTCAATTATTAAACCATTAGATCCGAGCCTACGATACGAATTGCATAGAAAAGGGTCCCGTATTTCACATTCCCGTCTCCGTAATGAAGCCCATGAAGTAAAACGACCACAATTTTTATGCCTTAACTAAATGCTTATATAATTACATCCATAGAATACCCGACTCTAAACAATTGGAGAGCACTCAACATTATAAACCGGGTTATTTTAAGCGCCAATTCATTGACATACCCTCGTCAGTGAATTCGGTGGTCATTCGGGCCAAGAATCTGGACCCACAAGAGAGCGGTTCGTTTGTCATTCACTGTCAACAACTGTCGCCACTGCTGTCCAACCGAACCGATGCGACCGAGAAGTTCTTCTCGTTGGCGCCATTGGCCGAGAATACGTACGCCATTCCCCTTAAGAGTGGCCGCACTCTTGAGATCTGTTTTGGCAGATGGTGGTCGAGTATTGGCGAGTCCTCCGCCCAATTGAGTATTCAGTTTTACGGACTCCAGCCCTCACTTGACTCATACACAATGGTATTATTGTTTTGTCGTTGAATTTAGTGTTAAATTTAATTATTAATTATGTTTTTAATGAAACAGTTGTCGAGTGAAGGCATTTCGAGATTAGATATTCAATCAAACTTTGGTTATGAAGAGATTTCGCCCAATATTTCGCTGCAAACATACGTTCAGCCCTTAAGGTCTGCGATAATTGCCTCAATTTTATGGTATTTACAATTAATATTAATTTTATTGTCTAATTATAGACCCGTTGAGAATAAAGTGCGTCCACTGACCGCTCGCGATGTCATACCTATCGGTCGACAGATTTATGAGATTGTTTTGACTTATAATTTTCAATTGGTTTGCATTTTTAATGCCATTATTTAACGCTATGACACATATTTAACACATCTTTTCAATGAATTCAGTCCAAACCGACCGATGTTTACATCTCGTGTCCTCTTCTGTCAGATGTCTTATACGAATCGGAATACGATTCGCAAATTTGGATGATTTTCGACACAAACACTAAGCAATTCTTGGCCACTGGAGACGCCTATTCATCCAGAGTAATGTCCCCATCCATACAGTCACGAGAAACTGATCCCAAAATAAACATATAAATTATCTCTTCAATGGCTAGCATTCGGCGAAACTAGAAAAAGGCGAATACACTGTTCGGTTGCAAATCCGTCACGAATTGGTCGCACAATTGGACAAACTGTCGGATCTGTCGATCAATGTTCACCAGAAGCTGACTCCCGGCGCGTCGTTGAGTCTCTACGAGACCTACAAGAATGCCATCACTGATGGCAAGAAGTTCAACACTCATGTGTTGCGACCCAATTGTCACAAACCGGTGTTCGTGGCGGCGATGACCGAACCGCCGAAGGGTCTAACGGTGGCCGCCGGCGGCTACTTCTACGGTCACATAACGTTCACTAAATCAGAGGTTCGCAAAAAAGCGGAACAGTTTGCCTTCAAATACGTGGTCGACAGCGAACCACAGAAGAAGCCCAAAGATAAGGACAACAGCAACGGCGGCGCCGCTGGCAAAGAGTCCGCCGATAATAAGACCACTGCCGACGGTTTGCCTGAAAAGTCTTTGGAGGAACAGTTCAGCGAAGCGTTGAGTGATTTGAAGATATCCTGGATTTCAAAGTATTGTTTTATTTTCAATAAAGTATTGATTGAAGTTTTTATTCATTTTTGTTTGTCTTGTGTTTTAGATTAAGGGGTAAATCATCGGAAGACGTGTTCACTGAACTTCAGGCCACAAACAAAGCCAATACTCAGCTATTATTGGCCCGAATGCAGGCGCTGGACGCCGACCCTCAACGCGGCCAACACCTGACCACTCAAATCAATTTAGCGAACGATGTCTTGGATTTGATAAAAGTTAATGATTTGATCGCTTCGTTGGCTGTCGTGAAGAGCGAGAAGAAGGAAACCAATAATTCAACCAATAATACAAACAATACGGCACTCAAAAAGTATTTACCAAAAACTCTTTTTTATGTCTTGTATTTTGCAATCATTTGTTAATTGATTTGTTAATTGCATTCAAAGTCTAGAAAAACAAAAGACAACTGTTTTGGAAGCGCTGGTGAAGAAGGGTATCGCCATCTGTGACCTAATCGACGCCCAGACCGCGGGCTCGAGCACTGCCGCCGCCATCGACCCGAACACAATACCCGACTCGACCGCCGCCTCTGACGCCAAACTCTCGCCGACTGGCGACCACTTTGTCTCCGACGCGAATCAAGTTTACGCCGAGATCTGTAAACTCACCGATCCTTACGACCAAAAAGTGGCCAAATTTACCGAACGTCACGCCCTTTTGCACCGACACTTCGGTCGAGCCATCAAACTGTTTGCCAAACTCCAGGAGTCGAAGGCGTCCCACGAGTTGGAGCTCAAGACCATTAATGTATGNTCACCGATCCTTACGACCAAAAAGTGGCCAAATTTACCGAACGTCACGCCCTTTTGCACCGACACTTCGGTCGAGCCATCAAACTGTTTGCCAAACTCCAGGAGTCGAAGGCGTCCCACGAGTTGGAGCTCAAGACCATTAATGTATGCATCGATTGATTAGTGATTTTGATTGCAATTAATTATGTTTTTTGTGTTTGTTTTGAAGGCATTCAAGCAATTAAATTGGACTCATTTGGAGGCCGCGTATAACCGATCCATTAATGTTAAGTTTCCCAAAGATTATCGACTATTTTAATGGCATTTACTGTTTTCTAATGTGTTTCATATAATAGACGATGAAATTTAATGTTTTATTTTTAGTTATAAATTATTTCACTATTTATTTAATTCAATGAAAACTTACGCAACTTTTCATGCGATAAAATGTGTGAAATTTTGTCTATTTTATCGAAATTATGATTTTTTTGTACAACTTTTTTTTTTGTTCAAACCTTTTATTCTGGAAATAGTGTTTAATTATAACTAAAACTTATCTAAAAATTTAAAATACAATTTGAATTTTAATATAATTATTGATTTTTTTTGGTAATTTGTAATATTTATACATAAAAATTAAAAATTTAATTCACAGTCATTTTGAATGAAAATTATTCAAATAATTTTAATTATTTTTAAATAATAATAAACATAATTAATTCAACGTAAAACATAACCATGCACATTTTAATTACTAAATTACTACTTATGATAAAAACATTAAAATAAAAATACCTGGTTAATTGAAGCGAATGTAATGTACAGTTATAATATAACTGTTATACTGTATTATAAAAATATATAAGTTTAGTTCATAAATAATGTTCACTTAAATGAAAGGGGGATAGACTTAGAGCATACTTATTATTATTAAACCGCATATTTAATGAGCGAAAGGGGGTCTGAAATATGATAAAAATACACGTTTGTTGTGTACAAATCAATCACATGTGAAATGTCCCAAAACTGTGTATCGGATCAGTTGTCTTCAGCGTTGGTCTCACTTCGGGCCAGAAGTCGGTTGCAGTCACTGAAGGATAGACTCCTATGGGATGAATACAGGCTATCGGTGCTCAACACTGGCCACGAAGACTGTGCCACACATAACACCACTCATTATAATCACAGCAATTATAATAACAATTGCAGTGAAAGTAATGGCGAAAAACCATTGATTGAAATCATTGATTGCGTGAAAAGCCATTTAACTCGTGATCACAACAACTCTATTGACAACTCATTCACTGATAATAACAGTGAAAGTGATTTAAACGTTAAATGTGTTGATAATAGTGTTAATTGTGATCCAAAAAGTGGTTTAAAAGACATTGAATTACAAAACAAATTGAATTATTTGTCGATTCAATTGAAAAACTCTGTATTTCTCGAAGAGTTTCTGATTGGGAAGCGTTTGAACCAAACTATCACTCAATCCATGCCTAAGACATCGAAGAAGATATCAACAGCTGTTAGCAAACGATTAGTTAAAACTAAAACTAATAATAAAATTAAAAGTAATAATAATAATGAAAAAGGCGTTGAAATGAGCGATGAGTTGACAAACACTCACTTAATTCCCGACCAATTAATTGTTAATAAATTAATAAATGATTTAATAATTGATTTGTTTAACACAGAAATGGATCGACTATTGGATGACAATTAATGACTGAAACTAATAGTTTTTCAATTGAAATGACATAACATTTTAATTGTAAATTTAAAGTTATTTAAAATTGTAATTTTTAATACACAAAACGAGTGCAAAACTTACCATAAGTTTTTAATAAGTTTTATAACTCGCGTATGAATTAAGTTGTTGTGTAAACATATGGTTACCTAATAATGAATGTATTAAACAACGAGTTAGGGGTGGACAATAATAACGATCTGATGGACGACTCGAGTGATAGTAGGCGTAGACGACGAGGAAGTAGGAGTAAAGCCATGGATCAAAAGTCTTGGGATCTATACGTTTACACAATCGCCGCGTATATCAATCATTTCGCTTTTGTATGCGTTTAAACAATGGATCCACTCGTTATAGTGAACCCCCGGTTATAATCATATAATTAAATATAAATAACTTTATTTTATTGTTAAAATCATTTGCCACTCAATCCTTACTCTATTTACGATTAACTAATGAGTGTTCACTAAAACGAGTGCTTCATTTAAAATACTTATTAAATGCTTATTATTTATAATTATATATAATTTTGTCTCATAAAAGGGTATAACGAATGGCTTAAGCGGTCCAACACTTGTTGACTTGAAATACATGTTAAACACGTCAATGAATTTAATATCCATTAATCTTATCGCTGGTAACATCGGATACCTATCGGGTTCTCTATGTAAGCACTTTTTAGACACTAATTAATTAATTAATTGTATAATTGATTAAATATTAATACTGTTCACTAAACTCTGTGTTAATTATCATTTCAGTCGGACTTTTATACAAATACATTAACAGACAGTTAACTATTGCTATAGTTATGTCAGCGATGGCCGCATCGGTAGCGCTGATACCCTATTCACCCAACTTATGGACACTGTATTTGTTCGGATACGTGAGTGGATTGGGATCCGGTATTTGGGACAGTGGTAACAATGTATGGCTGGTCGAGATGTGGCCGCACAACAGCCTATCAGCGCTCCAGTTCTCGCAGTTTATGTTCGGCTTGGGATCGATATTCGCGCCAATCATTGCTAAGCCATATCTGACCGGTGAGACCAATCATACCATCGTTACGCCCGCGTCTTTCACATACCACGCGCTGATGGCCGACACCATCACAAGCACTACACCAGCGCCCGTACCGGTGGACAGGCGGGCACTCCTGAAGACCCCATACCTCATCGCTGGCATTCTTCAGGGATTCAGTAAATGAATAGAATTTGTCCATTAATTATGTATTTAATAATCACTTTTAATTGATTTTCAGTACCGCTTGTGNCACTACACCAGCGCCCGTACCGGTGGACAGGCGGGCACTCCTGAAGACCCCATACCTCATCGCTGGCATTCTTCAGGGATTCAGTAAATGAATAGAATTTGTCCATTAATTATGTATTTAATAATCACTTTTAATTGACTTTCAGTACCGCTTGTGTTTCTAATCATGTATTTCATCCGCAAATACAAGAGTCCGGACGAACGGCTCAAACGCAAGGACTCGTCGGAAAGCCTTTTGAGCGAAGAGTTGGCCAATAGTACTGTCAGCGGAGAGTCGGAACCGAGAGTAGAGGGCTATACGGCCCGCAGAAAGACCACTTTGATAGCGCTGTTCTCACTGTTTCTGGCCATAGAGGCCTCCCTAGAGGTCGCGCACTTCAACTACAGCTCCACATACTATCAAAACATAGCGCTGCGAGTGTCGGCCCAAACCGCGGCCGACATACTGTCCGCGATGTATACGAGCTATACTGTGGGCCGTTGTCTCAGCGCGTTTGTGGCCCTCCGGGTCGGGCCCGACGCCATGATTAGCTATCATTTGCTGATCATTATCGCTGGTATGGGTGTCCTCTACTACGGCTCGACAGTACTCGAGCTGATATGGATCGGCAATATTATAATCGGTATAACTATTTGACCATGATGATGTAAAATAACCTTATTGTCCATTAAATGCTTTATTTGTTAATAGGTTTCGGCTTTTCGGCCATGTATTCGGCGATTGTGGCGCTGACTGCCCGTCACTGCACTCTCACAGACACCGTGAGTACAGTAATGGTGTTCACCAACGGTATAGTGTCGGCCATAACGCCCTTCATATTGGGTCCGCTCATCGAAACCAATCCGTTTGCGTTCATTGAACTCGAATTGGTTTATCTCGCTATCAATGCCGCCCTCTTTCTGGTCATAGTGTCCGTCACCCGAACCGCGCGGCCACACAATCGG